TTTACTTATTTTTCTTGTATAAATGGATGAATAGGATTTTTTATTTCTGAAAACAATATTAAGTTGCCTGGAAACTTGCTACCCAGTGCATGTAAAACCCCTCTCTCTCCTCCCCCCCCCCCCCCCCCTCTTTATTTTTTTTTCTGGCAGGGGAAAAATAATATTTTGTTTTTACAGAGTGAAAGACCATGGAATGTATGCTGCGTGGGTTAGTGCTGCCTCTGCTTGAAGGTAGGTGGATTTTGAAAGTTTGTGCATCTGGTTGACACCTGATTTTATGCACAGTGGGAAGTTGAATTCAGCATAGATGGTTAATGTTGACTTACTGTGCCATCTTTTTCTCCTTGCTTCAGAGTTTTCTAGGTCAGTTGGGAAAAGTGTTCGCTTGAAACCATGAACTAAAGCATGTCATACACACATGTGTTGTTTCAGAACCGATCTTTTGCTTTGGGTCGTTTTTCGCCGATGCAAACGGAGTTGACCTTAAATTATTGGAAGAAGGGAGTGGAAGGCTTTCTACTTGTTCTGCATAGATTTATAATTTCATTGTTCAATCGCCTTTATGTTTTTCAGCAGAGTTGGGAGCATGACAAAAGAAAGATTCTTCTGTGGCCAATAACACATCATGAATAGCAAGTTAATTGTAACTTAGGTAATATCTGTTGTCATAGTTGAGCCTCAATCTCTATGCAGAAGGGTTGGAGCTATTTATGGAGGTGATAATGGAAGCCAAGTCTACATTAGAAAAGGTGGGAATGAGGGATTTTTTTGGCCTCTCTTTCCTAGGTCATTTTTGTTTTTGATGCATCCATCAGAGAAGTATTTTGATGATTCTTGTCGTGGGGATTGTGCAGTGTCGAAAAGTATCCGTGTTCGTTCATGTTGTGTCCTTGTGTATTCTGGTTTTTCTAATTTAATCATATTGATAATTTCTTTGTGATGGTTTTATTGTATTAGCATTTTCCTTCGTCCAAATTCTTCAAATATAATGAACTCAGGTAAGATTTCTTCCTAAAACAATACCCTAGTATACCCCTGGCCGGGGGAAAAAAAAAAAAAAAAGAAAAAGAGATGAGAAAATAGAAGATAAAAGAAAAGGGAAGAATACCCCCATGCTGTTACGAGATTGCAATCTAATTGAGTCAATTGTTTCGTAATGTTGTAATCTTGAATCCGTATGCCCTTTCATATATATGACTCTGGAGTAGTACAAAGAATTATGTCTGATATATTCCACTTTTCTAAGTAAGATGAAAACTTTTTGCATTTACCGTCTAGAGGGGGCGATCTACTTCCCTCTTTGGAATGGGACTTGATGGGACTCTTCTAAAAATTAATAGAGAGTCAACATGTGTCTTTGGCATGAGTAATTTTGGATCTTACCAAGAACGACACATGTCGTTGGCACAAGAAACATGGGAGTTTCATGGATTAACACGTGTCCTCGACGTTTAGGTCCTTGGAGTTCTTACGAGTGACACGTGTCTTCGGCACTGAAAACACACTTAGAGTCTTGCGAGTGACACGTGTCTCTGGAGCCAGTGCACTCCTGGAGTCTTCATCATGTGACACCTGTCATCGACTTTCAAAGTTTTTCGAGAAGACCTCCGTCCGACACGTGTTCTCGGTTTTGAGTCTTCCCCTCTGCCAAGGTATTGTCGACCACCTTGGGACTTGGGTTATGACAAATGATTGCGTTTTTAGAGAATTTAAGAATGACGTCACCACATCAGAGGTATGAGTGACTTTTAATCATCAAACCTCTTCCAAAGTAGTCAGAATGACAAGGTAGACAATTTGGTAATCAATAGAGAGAGTCCACGAAATACGAAGCCTAGATGACATGACCTCCTGGAGGAAAAAGGATGCAAGTACCCTAGCATATGCGTAGCCATAATGAAGGACATTAAACAATCCCACAGAAAGATGAAATATATTTATTGCTCGGAGAGCCTCGAAGAAAGAACATTAAGTGCTCAAGAGTCTGAGCATTTAATGCATAAACTTCTTCCGCACAAAGTGGAAGACACTTTGCTCAAAGAGTGAGTATTATTTGCTGCCTTCCAAATGGGCCAATGAGAGACTTCCTCTTCAAGAGATCCACTTGTCCTCAATGATTATTTCCATGAAGGTATAAATAACTTTCAAAATCTCAAAACAACGGTACACACACTCTCCCCCAAGCAATAGAACAATGAATTTCCACCGCTCTCTCACATACTGACTTGATCGTCGGAAGAGTCATACTGAAAAATACTTCGGCGCCCTTCTAACCTCTCTTTTTGAGTGATAGAGTTCACTTTGATACGCCGAGATCATTCGGACTGCTAGAAAAATAATTCATCACCACTCTTTATATCAATTTTCACTTTCGTTTGTGACGGGACCATTGACTTTTCAGGTAAATCTCGAGTTGACCAAGAGAGATATATCTATTCATTTATTGTGCAAAAATCACTGTGCACAGGACTATACTACCATTTTTGAATTATATGGTAAGTTTATGGAATAGTAGTATTTGTACCTATTGATTAATATTTTTTGGTTCTTTTGTGTAACTTTTACTTAGGAGTAAAACATTTACTTATGTAGCTAGTGTTTTATAATTTTTATTCATGTCCAGAGCTCACAGTGGCAGGAACCACATGCACTGGGCTACCTTTAAATATCAGATGAAAAAAATAGCTTTCGTTTAGCAATATTTCTAAATTCTATCCATCTTAAAGACCAACTGGAACAATAAAAACTATACCATAAATTTTTATTTGGCATATATGTGTAATATTATAAAAATCTTAAGCTGCATTAAAAAGGAATATGTTTCTTAGAATTGCAATGACATTAGAAAAAGACCTCAGTTATAATATGCTTCCTACATTGTCTAGGTTAGAATATTGTAGTTCAATCAATTCAATAATATTAGAAAAGCCAATGGCTTGAGCCAAGTGGGTATAGTCACCTCCACACTTAGCATAAATTTTTTATATATTATATTATGCCCCCCTTATTTTTTAGCTAAAACCAAAAGAGGCATGATATATTCATGAGTTTACTTATAATTTTGACATTTATTTTAGTAATTATCACCGACATGATAGAAAATATATTTTATTGTATAATCGAATGAATAATAAATAATTAAGTGATAATATGATTATAGATATAAATAATAATAAATTTAATGCAAGACTTTCAATGTATGAAAATTAATCGAAGTCAATTCTAAATAGTTTTGATTAGCATTTATTTGGTAAAAAGATATAATTAGCCTTTTTTTTTCATTCGTATTTACTATGCTTAGCAATTTTAGTTTTTTAAGTTTAATGAATTTTTAAGAATTAAATAAGATATAATTAAATATAAATGCATTATTTTATTTTTATTAAATGCAAGAAAAAAATTAAGCTTGTTAAGATATACAGTGTCCACCCTAGAACAATTTTCTGACTCCGCCCCCGACCCTATATAATAAAATAGACCATAAAACACAATGAGTACTTTATCCACATATCTATATAATAAAACAGCTCATAAAATACAACGACGACTAAGATCACTTGTATTTTTTGATCTAATAGTTTAACTTACAAGTCACATTTTAATCATAGTAAATTTGTCCGTTTATATTATAATCACAATAAATCTGTCAACTTATATTTTAATTACATTAAATCTACCCCTTTATATTGTAACACACACATGATGCGACATAGAAATAACCTAGTTTATGATACAATATTAAAAATTAAGAGATTTAGGAATAGGACCAGTGTATTCCAATCGTTTTTTTTTAGCTATTCAATGTTCAAGTTAAACAGAAAAACAACCAATAGACCCGATTGCTCTATAAGTTATCTGAACCAGTTGATCTGCTACCTATCAATTGTGATAAATTTACCACACCAAAACTACCCAATTTCTTACAAACTCCAAACCAATCATACGACCCTTCACCATAGTCCAGAACGTGATTTTTACTCGGTCAGACTGATGCATCCAAGCTATGTACGTAGTAAAATTATTGCAAACTGGTATATTGTGAAACTATTATTTGCGATAATAATTTCTTTATATTCATTATATCAACTGGAAAATCATAGAATAAAGGGACGGTGACATGGCCACACATTAATTTCAAAAAATGGTAATTAAGAACCAATTGTTGGCTTTTATGACCCGAATTGATTTTTCCCATCGTATGATATGAAAGTTAATTTTGATATGTTCAATTCAACCAAGAAGTACTTGTCATTAACAATAGCTTGTTTAATAATCTCATTGAATAAAATTCTTGACTTTGCTGTTGTTTAACCTCATAGGATAAAATCTTGGTTCCATCTCTGGCCATGGGATGCCATGATGGTGCCTGTAGTGGTCGTGACGAAGGTGATGGTGCTGATCATGGGATAGAAGTGGTATGGTGGTGATGATGGTAGTGTGTGGTGGTGGTGATGGACACAACGCTAATGGTAGCTGTGGGATTTAGGGTGGCAAATGTAAAAACAAAAAAAAAAAAATAAGTGTAGAAGTAAGTTTAAATAAGTTGCTCCAAACATCATTTTTTTTTGTTTGAAGTGCTTATGATAAATTATAAATGAAGGAAAAAACACGTTTTTATAATTAAGAATGTATACTTGTACTCATTTATGATTCAGGGATCCACCATGCGGGCGGTCGAAAGTGATCGGTCATGCTTTCCAAAGCCACTACACCTACACAAAATGCCAAAGCATTTACATGGGAATGTTTATGTGCGTGCTCGTGTGTTTGGTGGCAATTGGCAAGCACATCGTGATTCTCTGTCATGTTGCTTTACTACTGATAATGAATTCCACTAGTAAATAGTAAGATACGGAGTGCCCCACCCCCACCCAATCACAAAACAAAACAAAACAAAACAAAAAAAAAGGAGTGGTTGAGATTGATCCTGCTCACCTATTAATACCAAGTAATTTGAAACTCGAAAAGTAAGTTTTTATTAGCTGAGCTTGTTCGTTCGGGATTATCATGAGAACCAGCTTTGCTTCTTATGCGGCAATGGTTGTAGTTCAGCTGGCTTATGGCGGATCAAATATACTGATGAAAATCTCCCTTGAGAATGGACTTAATCAACTCGTTTTTGTGGTATATCGGCATGTAATTGCAATGCTTCTTTTGGGCCCTTTTGCTTACGTACTTGAGAGGTAAATGTAAACCACTAATTTCTTGGCTTAGTTAATTGCTGTTGTGTTCCCAATTTTTTCTGTTCTGGGATGTTGTGGTTAGTTAGTATCATGCATCTTGATCAATCATCTGAATCGGTGGCCTCGAGGTAGCTAGGCTAGCTTTAATTTGGTTTTGCTAATTTATTGTTAGGGGAAATGATTAAAAAAACTGTATTTGCTAATTCATTAACTACAGGAAACAACGTCCTCCACTCTCCTTTGCAGTGATGATGAAGGTTTTCGCGCTTTCATCACTCGGAACTACGATCCACCTCAATGTTTACTATGCTGGTTTAGAGTACACTTCCCCAACTGTTGCAAGTGCCTTGAGTAATGTCATCCCCACTTTCACCTTCCTTATAGCAGTTTTCCTTGGGTACAGAATAAATTCCCTGCCCTGCTCATCTAATTTTAATACATTGCCTTTAGACTTGCTACCTATTAGCCATTGAATCCGTCTTTTTTAAGGATTAGCTTACCTTAGTTCTCTCATTCATTCAGGATGGAGAAAGTGACCATTAGAAGTGCTAGAGGCCGAGCCAAGGTATTGGGTATGCTGACTTCCATTGGTGGATCTCTTATATTTACCTTTTGGAAAGGTCCGTATCTTTTCAAGGGCCTTGTGGAGAGGCGGCCACTGGTTGACATCTATGACACCAAAGATTCTGTTGGTGAATTGAAGCGTGGTGGTGAGCAAGACTGGCTCAAAGGCTCTGCCCTTATTTTGGTCAGCTACGTTGCATGGAGTGCATGGCTCATTCTACAGGTTGTTAGATACTTTTTTTTAACTCCAAATAATATAATAGCGTGTTGTACGCCTAGCTATATCTCCCTCATGAATATAACAAAGAGTAGCTCGATCTGACTGGGTTTACCGTACCCACCCTGACAGGCTGTGGTCTACAAGGTCTATCCAGCAAGATTGTCACTGAACGTTTTAATATGTTTCTTTGCATCCCTGCAATCTTCTCTCCTTGCACTGTTTTTTGGAAGAAATCCAACCATATGGAGGCTGGAGTGGAATGTACAGCTCTTAACCATTATCTACACTGTGAGTATTCACTCGTTGATGCCACATGTCTATACAGGATTTGGCATATCTGCGGTGGCAACCTGGGCCATAATAATGTATTATAAGTTCTATCACTTGGTCATGTATATTGCGGGGTCAACTGAGAGAAACACTAAATTAAACAAAGATCAGTGCATCAATAGAACATTTTTTCGTCTGCTGATGTTTACTTGTGTGTAAGATAGGGAGTTGTGATATCAGCATTGGTGTACTATCTACAAACCTGGTGCATCAGCAACAAGGGCCCAGTTTTTGTAGCAATGTTTAGTCCATTACTACTACTGGTAGTTGGAATATTTTCAGCAATCACTTTTGCTGAGCAATTCCACTTGGGAAGGTAAGACACGCAAGTAATTAATGATAAACTTGCACTTATGAGAATTGAATTTGCTTAAGATGGCTTGTTTTCACCCATGGTAGACCTAAAATCAGTGTGATTAGTGAGTTTGATCTGCTTTTCTCTTGCGTACATGCCTAAGCTTCGTAGGAGCAGTTCTTATCATCATGGGCCTGTACAGCGTACTTTGGGGGAAGAGGACCTACAATCTTGACCAAAGGCAACGCGACGGGAGTAGTGAAGGCGCTGATGGTAATAAGGTGTTGGAGATCGCAGTGCATGACTGCACTGTGATGAGTCCAGTCGATTGCGAACAAAAACAATGCCGCTTCTCTGGCAACAAGTAGATATAGAATTGATTGGATTTTAAACCTACAGCCAGTAAGAGTGTGTACACTTTCTATCCTCTATGCATATCATGTACCAGCCACCAGTTTTAGTCTTTCTTTGATTGTCAACATAGTTCCACTTTCTATGACCAGAGGCTTTGTGAGGATGAACTCACTAGAACAAATTTTAGTGGTCCCCTTATTGTAATTTATTTTATCTCCAAGAAAAATACAGAGGGTCGTAGCAGTAATTGTTTCATCGATTGCCCATAGCTAAGTGTTCCGTATTTCAACTTCAACTTCAATTCCCATAGCTAACCTGCTGTATTTCTTGTGTCTATTTTGTATCACCAGTTAGATTCCCCAAAAATGGTTTTCATAACTGCCAGAAGTCAAATTAGTTTGTACAGTATTAATCAGGCCCCTACTGTTCAGAGTGACGCAGTTAGGTTGAACTACAAATCAAACGAAAATTCGGGAGGTTTGCCTAATGGTCCAGAATTATACCCCATTACAAGGCTTGCAGGACTAAATTTCACTTCAGTTGGGAAGCCCACCAAGACTAAAACACCAGCAGTCTTCAACAGAGACAAGTATGGGTCAAATGGGATATCCCCAGATGCCGTGTTAATTATGAACAAGACAACGACCATCAAGTTTACAACAGCCCAAGAACGAACACAAAATTTTCGGTGTTATCTATAATACAACAGACAAATGAGCTCCATGAGCTTATGGAACACGAGACCACAAATTCATCTGTTTCAAGAAGAATCAGGGCTTCCTCTTTCTTGGATATACGGGTGCTAAAGTCTGTTACATTCAGTCCAAATGCCTTACCAAACTTCACTGCTAATTAGTGACCAAGACCACCTAGCCCAATCACACCTAGAGACTTGCCAGGTTAGTTCTGAAGGACCCAGAAGCCTTATCCCAAAGCTTTCGCCGGAAAAATCGTCGCCGGAAATTTTTTCCGCTGGAGTTTTTGCCGGCCAAAATTTTTGGGAGCCCTTCGTTTTATTTTTTTTTTGGCTAGAAAGTGCCTATAAATAGAGAGCTTAATGAAAGCCAAAATTGTTCCAAAAAATAGTGAGAAAGAACTAAAGAGAGAGAGATCCCGGAGAGGTCTTGAGAGTTTTATTGTGAAAAATTCTTATATTTATTTCCTTAGAGAGAAATAAAGTATTTCTCTTTGTTTATATTGTGTTAGATTTGATTTTCTGGCCCTGGGTCACCAATAAGTTATATAAGAGCTTTGGTTGGATCGTCAAAAATTTTTTCCAATTGTTTTTGGTTCGTATGGGTACTAAACGAACTCAAAATCAAATTTTGACCATATTATTGGATTCCTCTCGTCGAAACAAGCATCAATTCGATGTCGGACTCTCTCTCACGGTCCTCGTCGGAAAGTTCATCGACTGCCAGAGGTTATCGTAGCTGTTGTCGAAAAAGTTCACCGGACCGGTGACCAGAGGAAGGTTGAAGACGACGGAATATCCCCAAGGAATATTCTATCTCAGTCAAAGAATATAAGAATACTCCCAAAGAATATTTCATCTAAAGAATATTCTGTCATCGTCAGCATATTTCATCAAGTTTAACGAAATATTTCATTAGATTTACCAAAAATTTTTGCAACCAGTTCTGAGCTCATTTTAGCTTCGTATTTGGTGAACCAAAACTCTTTCCCAGCTATTTCAATCATTTTGGACACAACCGTGTACTCTGTTTTGCAAAATTTAACCCTAATTTTTTTTTATTGAGATATTTAGAGCTTAAAAATACAAAAATGTTCATGGAAGAATCAACATTGGGAGCTATGATCAAACTCATTACCTCTAATTATACACTTTGGAAACTTCAGATGGAAGATCTCTTAAGCTGTAAAGACTTGTACGATCCCTTGAAGGTAAAAGGTGTGAATCTAGATCCTACAAAAGAAACAGAGTGGAAGAAACTGAACAGAAAAATCATCGATCAAATCAGGCAATGGATTGGCCAAGTGTATTCCACCAAGTTGCACAAGAGACTAGTGCCTATGTTCTCTGGAAGAAGCTGGAAGAAGTTAGAAGACATGTACCAGGCCAAGACAGTTCAAAATAAAGCCCTTTTGATGAGGCGATTGGTGAATTTGAAATTAAAAGTTGGAACTTCAATTTCCGAGCATACCAGTGAATACCATATCCTGGTAAATCAATTATCATCTGTAGCATTGAAGCTGGGGGATGAAGAACAAGCCCTCCTACTTCTCAGTTCTCTACCAGACAACTGGGAGACGCTAGTAGTCTCTCTCAGTAATTTGGTGCCAGGAGGCAAACTTACCATGTCAATGGTTAAGGATGCCCTGTTCAATGAGGAGGCAAGAAGAAAGAATGTCGGGATTGACCAATCAAATGCTCTCGTCACTGAGAGTAGGGACAGACAACAAGGAGGTAGCAGAAGCAAGTGAAGAGGAAGGAGTAAAAGTAGAAGAAGGTCACAAGATTTAGGGAGGTCAAATGGTGGTGGAAGACCCACATGCAAGTGTTACCATTGTAGTATGCAGGGCCACATGAAGAAAAACTGTTGCAAGTTGCTATGAGAGCAAGACCAATACAGTGATCAACCAAAGAAACAAGACGGAGAGACACTAATCACTCTATCAGGGCATGTAACCATTCTTTCTGTAAATGAGGAGACTTGCCTTCATGTTTCTAGCTATGATGTTGAGTGGGTGGTAGATACTGCAACTTCTTACCACGCTACTTCTCACATAAATTTCTTCTCGACATACAAAGCCGGGGACTTTGGTACGGTGAAGATGGGAAACACCAGTTCTTCTAAGATTGTGGGAATTGATGATATTCAAATAAAAACAAATGTTGGTTGTACATTGGTGTTGAAGGATGTTCGACATGTGCCTGACCTTTGATTAAATCTACTTTCAGGGATAACCCTTGACAGACAGGGTTACGATAACCATTTTGGCAATGGCACATGGAAGCTCTCAAAAGGTGTCATGGTTGTCGTCCAAGGACATATTTGTGACACACTTTATAAGACCCATATGAAGGTCTGCTCAGATAGCCTCAATGCAGTTGAAAATGAGGCTTCACCAAATCTGTGGCACTAGAGACTCGGTCACATAGGGGAAAAATGGTTGTTTACCTTACCAAAGAAGGGTCTCATCACAGTCACCAAGGTTGTTGCTCTTAATCCTTGCGAACATTACTTGTTTGGTAAACACTATCGAGTCTCATTCAGTTCCACTATGAAGAGTAGATCAGAGTTGTTAAGCCTGTAACACTCTAATGTTTGCGGTCCACTGGAGGTGGAATCATTAGGTGAAAATAGATATTTTTTGACCTTTATTGATGATGCTTCATGGAAGGTGTGGGTGTACTTCCTAAAGACAAAGGACCAAGTACTTGAATGCTTCAAAAGGTTCCATACCATGGTAGAGCAAAAACGAAAAAGAAGTTGAAGTGTCTCTGAATAGACAATGAAGGCGAATACACTTCCAGAGAGTTCAAATAATACTGTGGTAATTACGGTATTAGACATGAGAAGACGGTTCCACGTACCACACAACATAATGGTGTAGCAGAGAGAATGAATCGAACCATTGTGGAAAGAGTTTGATGCATGATTAGTATGGCAAAACTGCCAAAGCCATTCTGGGGTGAAGTTGTTCGTGCCACTTGTTATTTGATAAACAAATCATTATCAGTACTATTGAATTTTGATATTCCCAAGAAGGTGTGGTCTGGTAAGAATCCCTCCTATTTCCACTTAAGAATTTTTGGGTGCAAGGCATTTGCACATGTATCCAAGGAGTAGAGGCATAAGCTTGATGTCAAGACCACTCCGTGCATCTTTATAAGCTATGGAGACGAAGAATTCGGATACAGATTATGGGACCCAAAGAAGAAAAAGGTCATCAGGAGCAGGGACGTGGTGTTCCATGAAAACTAGGTATACGAGGACTTTGAAAATTCCACAAAGTCTAATAGTTCTAGTTCCAGTGCACAAGACATTGTTCCAAACCCTGCACTATTCCAGTTCACCACAGATAATGGCGAAGTGCAGGATGAAACTCTAGAAATAGAACAACATGATGAAGAAGGTGTTGAACAGAGGGAGCTGCAACCCTTCCACCAGATGCTGTAGGACCATCACATCAATCAGATGATGGTATACCTCATATAGTTGACGAGCCTCAATCACGAAGATCTGAAAGAGGATGTATTTTGTCGAGTAGATATCTAGAGTCAGACTATATTTTGCTTATTGATGAGGGGGAGCCGGAAAGCTTCCAAGAAGCACAAGCTCATACGGATAAAGACAAGTGGATGCAAGCTATGCAGGATGAGATGGATTTCTTGTAGAAAAATCAAACTTACGAGCTGTTGAAGCTTCCAAAAGGCAAGAAAACATTGAGAAATAAATGGGTGTTCAAGCTGAAGAAAGACGACAATGAAAAATTGGTGAAATAGAAGGCTTGATTGGTCGTTAAAGGATTCCAACAGAAGAAAAGAATCGACTTTGACGAGATTTTCTCACTAGTTGTTAAGATGTCCTCAATTCGAGTCATTTTCAGATTAGTAGCCAGTTTAAACTTAGAGCTTGAACAAATGGACGTGAAAACACCATTTCTTCATGGAGATTTGAATGAAGAAATTTGTATGGAACAACCAAAAGGTTTCGAGGGTCCAGGAAAGGAAAATCTGGTCTGCAAGTTGAAGAAGAGTTTGTACGGCCTCAAGCAAGTGTCGAGACAGTGGTATAAGAAGTTTGACTCATTCATGGTGGGTCATGGCTACAGGAGGACTGCTGCAGATCAGTGTGTTTATGTTTAGAGATTCTTGGATGACAATTTCGTTGCACTCCTACTTTATGTTGACGACATGTTGATTGTCAAAAAAGATGCAACAAAATTAGCCAATTAAAGAAGGACTTGTTCAAGTCCGTTAACATGAAGGATTTAGGGCCAGCTCAACAGATACTAGCATGCAGATTGCTCATGATAGAAAGACCAAGAAATTGTGGCTATCACAGGAGAAATACGTTAAACGGGTGATCCAGAGGTTCAACATAGATACTGCCAAGCCAGTTAGCATTCCACTAGCTAATCATTTCAAGTTGAGCAAGAATTCCTGTCCCTCATCGAAGAAGGAGATAGAAGATATGACAATGGTTCCCTACTCTTTAGCAGTTGGGAGTCTAATGTTCACAATGATGTGTAC